TGGTTTTCACCATGAATTTTGAAGGTCTTGACCCCTCCCTCGCTGAATATGCTTCCCCCCTGCACCCCACGCTGGATCCTGTCCTGGACCCCCACCTCAACCCCAACTTGCTGCAGAACGTGGAGCTGGATCCCGAGGCGGTGCCGTTAGAGGGGCTCCCGGTACCGGAGTCGGTGCATCTCATGGAGGGCATGTACAGCGAGCTGCACACCGCCGTCTCCGAAGTGGGGGGGCCCGTCTCTGTCTCCCACTTTGACCTGCACGAGGAGATGCTGTGGGTCGGGAACCACGGGGTAGGTGCCCCCTCTGGGAATGGGGCAGGGAGGGTTGTTGCCCCAGTGGGGGTGTCTGTGCCCCTCTCACAGCCCAACACCTGCCCGCCGTGACCAGCCAGGATGGATTGGGGGAGGCTTTGAGCAACCTGGTCTAGTGGAAGGTGTCCCTGCTGCTGGCAGGGGGGTGGGATTGGATGAGCTTTAAGGTCCTTTCCAACCCAAACCAGTCTGGGATGCTGTGCTGTGGTGGTTGCTGCATCTCGGAGCGTGAGCCTCTTGCTGTGTCCCAAGTAACTTCACTGCCCTGAGCTGTGGGGCTTTTGGTTTTTTACTCATATCTGCCCGAATGGGAAAAATCTGAGCAGTCTGCCACAGTTTGGGGCACGCAGGGGGGACAGGAAGCCCCCCCGTAAGCTGGCAGAGGCCATAAAGGAACTGAGACCTTGTCCCCACCCAGGAGCTGGCACTGGGGAAAGTGGCATTTGCTCCTGTCACATCTGAGTGACGCTGGGGTGGGTCTTGATGAGCTTGTCCCCGGCTGCTTTCAGGGCCACGCCACCTCCTTCTTCGGCCCGACGCTGGAGCGATATTCCTCCTTCCAAGTGAACAGCAGCGACGACATCCGCCAGATCCAGAGCCTGGAGAACGGTGTCCTTTTCCTGACCAAAACCAACCTGAAGTACATGTCACGAGGAGGCCTCATCATTTTTGACTACCTGTGAGTACCTTCCCCTGGCAGCAGGCGCGTTGTTCCAGCCCTGTGAGCTGCTCCTGGGCTGGGGGAGATGGTCCCAGCCCCTCTGCAGTATAAAAGCTACATCTGGGGAAGGGTGAGGGCAGACTCTCCCCACCTTCCTGCTGCCTCCCCAAGCTGGATGGGAGCACAAGGGTTGTCCTCTTCCCTCTCCTGCAGCATGGATGAGTCCGAGGACATGCACAGTCTCCTGCTGACAGACAGCAGCACGCTGCTTGTTGGTGGGCTGCAGAACCACGTCATTGAGATAGATCTCAACACCGTCCAGGAGACACAGAAGGTAAAGCTGGGCTGGGGGGGGCTGCTCCCTGCTGCAGGGAGGTGTTTTGCTGTAGGGCTCAGCAGCCCTGCTCACCCCACTCTTCTACCTCCATCCCAGTACACCGTGGAGGTTCCCGGCATCACCATCATGAGGCAATCAAACCGCTTCTTCTTCTGTGGGCACACCTCGGGGAAGGTAACACCAGCCCTGTCCTACCTGGGACAGCTCTGGGACACCCTGGAGTTGGTGTCTGGCTTTTCCTGGAGCTTGAGGTACTCCTGAGTAGCCAGCACCCCTACATAGCACCCAGCACCCCCATCTCACCCCTCCCAGGTCTCCCTGCGGGACCTGCGCACGTTTGTGGTGGAACACGAGTTCGACGCGTACTCGGGCAGCTTGTCTGATTTCGATGTCCACGGGAACCTGCTGGTGACCTGTGGCTTCTCCAGCCGGATGAACGGCCTGGCCTGCGACCGCTTCCTCAAGGTGTACGACCTGCGCATGATGCGGGCCACCACCCCTCTGCAGGTCCACATCGACCCCTTCTTCCTCCGTTTCATCCCCACCTACACCTCCCGCCTGGCCATCATCTCCCAGACAGGTGGGGGAAGCTGTATCCCCTGCCCAAGCCGGGCTCTGCTCCCCTGGGGTCGAATCCCAGTGGGATAGAGTTGGCCCCGTAAGCGAGATGTATCCCAGGTCAGCGTGTGCTGGCCCACCTGGTGCTCCTTGGTGTCACACTGCTCTGTGCTTCCTTCTCGTGCAGGTCAGTGCCAGTTCTGTGAGCCCACTGGCCTCGCCAACCCTGCTGACATCTTCCATGTGAACACCGTCGGGCCCCTGATCATGACCTTCGATGTCTCGGCCAGCAAGCAGGCCCTGGCCTTTGGTGACTCTGAGGGCTGTGTCCACCTCTGGGCTGACTCCCCAGAGGTCACCTTCAACGCCTACTCCCGGGAGACTGACTTTGCCTTGCCCTGCATTGTGGACACGCTGCCTCACTTGGACTGGAACCAGGACCTCATGCCGCTCTCGCTCATCCCCGTGCCGCTGACCAGTGACACTCTGCTCTCTGACTGGCCTGCAGCCAACTCTGCCCCGGCACCCCGGTAATTTACCAGTCTCTCTCAGTGAAAACCAGCACAGGAGAAGTGTCCCTGGCAAGGATCCCCTCCTTCCATGGGTTGTGGGAACAGGAAAGCAGCTCTGTTGCTCTCCCTGCTCTCCCATCTCATGGCTGGCACTGCCCTTCCTCACCACATGTCCTGTGAAATGCCAGAGAAGTTCCCTGTGGTGGAGTTTAACCGCTGAGGTGCAGTGACTGGGCAGGTCTGAAGATGGTGGGATATGGTCAAACCTCTGTCTTCCTGGTGAGGAGATCCCAGTGGGATCCTGGCTGCCTTCTGCCTGTGTGGAAACTTATTTTCCCTTTGCCTGAGCCCTGTCCCAAACACACCTGCTCTCAGCTCTGCTGCCATGTTCTGACATAGCCCAGATGTTGTGTTGTGATGGAAAATGAACCTGGGGAGAAGGACCGAGTGGGGGGGAAACCCTGGTGACCTGCTGGTGTGTCCCTGAGCTCACCCTGAGAGGTGAAATGATGCTGCCAAACAGAGCAGCCTGTGAGTCACGGTGTGTTTTGCAGGCGAGCCCCCCCGGTAGATCCTGAGATCTTGCGCACCATGAAGAAGGTGGGGTTTATCGGTTACGCCCCAAACCCAAGGACCAAGCTCCGCAACCAGGTACCTGCTCAGGAGGGTGGGGTCCTTGTGCCAGAAGCAGAGGTCTATGGTTTGGGGAGGGATGGAGCTCTCACTGTGTGCTGAACCATCTCAGAGCTTTCTGCAGGGCTTGGGATGGGGGTGAGGGATGAAGTTCTCTGGCTTGGGGTGTCACAGGAGGCAAAAGTCTCCGGGGAGATCTTATAGTGGCCTCCCAGTACCTGAAGGGGCTACAAGAAAGCTGGGGAGGGACTTTTCATAAGGGCAGTTAATGACAAAACAAGGGGAAATGGGTTTAAGCTGAAAGAGGGGAGGTTTAGATGAGATATTAGGAAGAAGTTCTTCACTGTGAGGGTGGTGAGACAGTGTCCCAGGTTGGCCAGAGAAGCTGTGGCTGCTCCTCCCTGGAAGTGTTCGCGGCCAGGCTGGATGAGGCTTTGAGCAACCTGGTCTAGTGGAAGGTGTCCCTGCTGCTGGCAGGGGGGTTGGGACTGGATGATCTTTAAGGTCCCTTCCAACCCAAACCATTCTCTGATTCTATGATTCTATGAAAGTGTTTAGTTTGGAGGTGACAGGTTTTCTTCAGCAGTTTCATCGGCTGAGCCAGCCCTGGAGTCCCCCCGCTCCTCGTGCCCAAAGCCCAGTTCTATGGATAACTTGCTCTGTGGCAGGAAGGGTCTGAGCTGCCCGGTTTGGAGGTTTATGGCACGTCCCTCACCCTTGGGAAAACACTGCTGTGTTTTGTCCTCGCCCGCAGCGCCGCTGTAGTTTCCCACAGTGATAAGTCCCTTGTAAGAAGGAAGGTGTGGAAGCCTCGTGCAGGTTAAAGGGAGGGCCCCACTCCTTTCTGGTTTATTCCTTTGCTCATTCAGGGAGGCAGGAAAGCCCAGGACTTGATTGTTTCAGTCTGTGGTGCTTTGCTCTGCCTCAGGGTTCAGCTGTTCCCTTCTCTTCCCCCCTCACAGATTCCTTATCGGTTAAAAGAGACGGACAATGAGTTCGACAGCTTCAGCCAAGTCCCCGAGTCCCCCATTGGGCGGGAAGAGGAGCCACACCTCTACATGGTGGCCAAGAAGTACAGGAAGGTAGTGGCCTTCTGGGACTGCTCTGGGGCACAGTGGTGGGGCTGGCTGGCACTCCCCAGGCTGGGCTTGTCTGGGGTGAAGGACCTGCCGCCCCCTCACCCTGGTTTGTCTCCATGGGGAGCACCGAGGTGTTTCACCGGTGTCCCGTGGTGTGGGAAGGTGTCTGTTCAACATGTTGTGTCTCTGCTCAGGTCACCATCAAATACTCCAAGCTGGGGCTGGAAGATTTTGACTTCAAGCATTACAACAAGACTCTGTTTGCAGGCCTGGAGCCCCATATCCCCAACGCCTACTGCAACTGCATGATCCAGGTGGGAGATGCCCCAGTGCTGCCCAGGCCACTGCAGCCCCCAGGACCTCCTCTGACTACTCTGTCTCTGCCAGGTGCTGTATTTCTTGGAGCCAGTCCGTTGCCTGGTCCAGAACCACCTGTGCCAGAAGGAGTTCTGCCTGGGCTGTGAGCTGGGCTTGCTCTTCCACATGCTGGACCTGTCCCGAGGAGACCCCTGCCAGGTCCGTGCTGAGCCCAGGCGTGACGTGAGGCCAGTGGGCTGGGTGGTTGGGAGGGTCAGAGAGATCACAGAGGAGCAGGAGCTGGGTGGTGCTGGGACCTCGGGTGATGGCGTCAGACAGTGTGGAAACTCCTGTCACTTGACCTCGGTGACATGCTGCTCTTGCCCCATCCCCAGGGAAGCAACTTTTTGCGGGCTTTCCGCACAATCCCGGAGGCTTCGGCGCTGGGGCTGATCCTGGCTGACTCGGACGAAGCCACGGGGAAGGTGAACCTGGGGCGGCTGATTCAGAGCTGGAACCGTTTCATCCTTACTCAGCTGCACCAGGAAACCCAGGAGCAGGAGGGACCACAGGCGTATCGAGGGGCTGGCAGCAGGTAAGTCCCTGGCTTGGGGTGAGGACAGGGAGTAACCGAACCAGGGACATGGGCTGTCTCCCAGAGACCCTGTTTGTCACTTGGGGAGGAGCTTTCTTGTCACTCATGTCTACCTCGAGGGGTGTGTGGGCACACGAGGAGCTGCAGGCTGCCCTTAGAGCAGGGTTTGAACCCTGTGGTGAACTCTGTCCCTCCTAAGCCAGGCCCCACTGCACGATGGGCTGGGGCTGTGCTGAGAGTGGCGGCTCTGGACACCCAAGGGCTGGTTCCCCCAGAGCTGCTGGAATTTGAGTGCTGGCCCTAAACAGCATTTGTGGAGCCCAAGACGTGGTCCCCAGTGCTCAGCCCACTGTACCAGCCAGCCCCACTCCTCAGGGATTGCCAGGATCCTGCTGACCCCAACGTTCTTTCTCTCCAGCAGCTTTGGGTCCTCGGGGGACTCGGTTATCGGGCAGCTCTTCAGCTGCGAGATGGAGAACTGCAGCATGTGTCGCTGTGGCAAGGAAACGGTCCGTGTGTCCTCCACACTGCTCTTCACCCTCTCCTACCCTGAGAGCACTGGTAAGGGCAGGGCCTGGCGTGTTTAATGCTGCTGCATTTCCCCAGCAGGGTGGGGTTTGTTATCTATATGGATGAACCTTCCAGGTCACAGATACCTGCAGCAAGGAGCTTCTGCCGTGGTCTGGCCCGGTTGTGGCAGACCCAGCAGCTGAGGTTTAGTGGTGGGTTTCCAACCAGCTGAGCTTTTGGCTACAGAAAGGCAGATTTGGGGGTTGACCTTCTCGCTAGTGGTTGTGAGGAAAACCCCAGAGGTTTGGCTGAGCTAAATTGGTAAAGATTTGTGTGTTGGAAGGTGACGTTATTCTCCTTTCTTCCTTTAGAAAAGCCAGTCAAAGATTATGAGTTTGCCCAAATTTTAAAGCGAAGCATCTGCTTGGAGCAGAACACACAAGCCTGGTGTGAGAACTGTGAGAAGTACCAGCCCACGGTGAGCCCTGGGAGTGGGGTGTGAGCATGTCACGCTTCACAGGCTGTGAGGGGGTGTGGGAGAAGGGTGTGAGCACCCCGTGCCACCGGCTGAGCGGGGGCAGTTTCTCCATTAGTCAGTGGGGAACCTCCTGAGCGGATGCTGGAGATTCAGTTCCTGGCCTGGATGGCGACCCGGCATGGTGTGGGGTATTTCCTGGGCTGTGCGAGCGCTGGAATGTGTCTCGTGGGTCACAGGGATCCCAGATGAATCCCCCCCCTGGGGTAGGGGGCAGAGGGAAACCCCACAGGAGCTGAGGACCCTCTCCCTTGCAGTACTCCCAGCTACCAGGAACCCAGCCAGGTGGTGGGGAGGAAGCTCAGCAGGTGAAGGTGTTGGAGCAGGGAAGAGGGTAGCATGTGCCAAATCCAGATTTGAGCCTCTCCAGGGCTCTGGGTGCTGCCCAGCTTCCATCTCCTGCTCTCTCCACAGGTCCAAACCCGGAACATCTGCTGTCTGCCAGATGTCCTGGTCATTAACTGTGAGGTGAACAGCTCCAAGGAGGCAGATTTCTGGAAGACACAGGCTGAGGTGGGGGGAGACACTTTGGGGCAGAAGCTGGCTTGTTCTCCCTGGCACACGGGGTTCGCTGCGTGTCCAGTTCTGCGGAGGTGTTTTCACTCTGATCTCACTGTCTCTAACAGCCTCTTGCTCTCCACTTGAGCATCACCCTACTTTGTTCACACACAGAGGACACGTTGGTATTTGGTCATGTTTGTAGCATGAGCCTTGTTGTTTGGAGTTGGAAAAGACAAGATCTCCTGCCATGACAAAGCTGAT